GGCTGCTCCATTATTGTCCAGTTAGCAGGCTGGGGGTATACTGTGGCCAGTTTATTTTTTTATTTGACATCTGCTGCTGCAGCAATACTGTGTGCACAGGTCTGTGTGCACTCTAAAATGTGTGGTTTAATTGTGGGGGTTTTTTTAATAATTGGAATATTTATATATATGGAACAGACCATGAGAGTGTTGTGTTTACTATCCCTGTCAGCTTGGTAGATATATGAGACAAAGTGGATTACGAAGGATGAAGGCTGCATTTCAAGCACTATTGACCTTGTAGATTAATAATGTCCAACTATAGAGGTGAGCAGTCGGACCACAGAGTATAGTAGAGAGCACCTAACAACGAAAATTGTACCTTATGTGGAACACTTCACTGAATGTGGAATATTACACCTTGATGCATGAAGAGTCAAATATGGACTATGTGTCATTTGAAAGAGCACGATTTGAACAGTGTGATCTAAACATTGTGCTGTTATTAAGGAGTTGAATATTTTTTATCTGTATATGAGCTATAACACAAGTAGGTTATAACCCAGAATTGGTGGCTTAATGTCATTGCACAGAGGAGACACATGTATGTGGGACATTAATTGGATTAATGTGTTTTTTATATATTTATTTGTCTTGGTAGCACAGCAGAGATCACACAAGAATCTGACTGATTATTTGTTTGTGAATTTATTGATTGGTTGTATAACACAGATGTTGTTTCAATAAGCACTTCAGCCTTTTATTACCGGTAATAGAGTAGTATTATTGGGATTAAAGCACACACCATTTATGTAGCTATAATGAAACAGATCTGTTAGTCCTAGAGTGAGAAAGATAACCAGGTACTTTAACTGGGAGTTACCCAGCTACCACAGTTGAAAGATACCCAGATACTTCAACAGTGAGAAAAATACTCAATGTGAGAAAAAATATTCAATAGGCAATGTGAGGTTGAGCATTTCAGACTTGGTCCGTTAATTTTGAAATTGGGGATTTCTCTATATACATGTGGGTCATCTAGTATGTGCATGAGAGTAATGCAGAGTGAAGGCTTCACATAATGTCCCATTAATGCAGACCTGTTCGGAGGGATTGTTGCATAATGCCAAGATCCAACACAAAATCTTAGGTCCTAGTCCACAGTGTTTGAAAGTTATGATAAGACACTTCCAGGCCACCCTTTTCTGCATCTGTGGAAAGAAGGAGGGTGGATTGGGACCATCTGCGAATATGGGCAATGAGTAATGTCCTTCTAAGTGAGTTTACCCTAGCACTGCATATTAAAAAACCCTGTCTTATCTAGGAGAATCCAATAATGGGATCAAAGGTAAGAGCCATGACCCCAGGACCTTAGCATAGAAATGTATATCCATTTTTGAGTAGAGAGTAAAGTCTTTAGCTCCAACAGCATGTGGGATAAGGGTATGTATCTAGTAAGATGTGGTATAAGGGTATGTTTAAAGGCTTTCTCGTAAACTAATGTCAGGTCATCTGAAACTGGAGCTTTTAGCAGTAGCCATTCCTGCAAGGGCTGTAAGGATTTCTTCCCCATGTTTTTAAGTGCATTTGAAATATTGCATAATTTTTAATTTTCACTAGCAGGGGAAGCTCTAGCCATGAATTAAATATATATTTGTAAAATAAATATTGTAAATAACAAAAGCTACATAGCATACGTTTAAAAACATGTTAATTTTAAAAACTAAATACAATTGACCTCAAAACATGATTGTTTCCCTTCAGGAAATTGTGGAAAACCAAGTGATCAACTTGTAAGGACTTTTTTTTTACAGATTTTATTCACCAGATTGAATGGTACATTGAAGATGTAAAGGTGGCAATGGATTATTAGATTCTGTAGTGACATTCCTACTGGTGCCACTG